AACTTCCATTATCACGATACAAGATCTAGAGACGCTATTAGAGCACAACGTTTTAGGTTGACAAAGAGCATAAAAAATTCGAATGATTAGTTTGTATAACTTTTTACCAGATGAAGTAAAAAGTCTTTACTTGTTGTTGATTAAGCTTAACATCAAACCACACTTTTTGAAACATTGTTTATATTCAAAAACGGAGTACCTAAGTACAGCTTTTACACAATAGTACTAGTCGGGTCAGGGTGTTTGCCTATTATGATGATATTTTATGTTTTTATATATTTTTTAGTGTGTTTGTTGTTTCTTAAATTGTTAGTATTAAATATCTGTTTGTAATGTTTAAATTCGCAAAATTTTTATATGTATCGATGTAATTTGTCACTATTCCTTTGACTTGCCAAAAACAAAACTATTTTTGTATATTGACTAAATAAATTCTATTCTATGTCATCAGGGCCTACCATGAGATATTTCAGACTTGTGTTGTCCTTGAAGAATTTCTAGATGTACTTTACCCATTCTTCTTGTATGTGTTTTTGATATATCGCTAAACATTCAATATCTGTTATAATTGTTCGATTATTTCTTTATTTTCTTGTGCTAGTTAAAATAATGCTTCTTTTGTAGTTTCTCTAGTTCATTACAGCGTTCGTTCATCCTTTCTTATTAGTCTTGTAATCATTTTATGTGTTTCCCAGTTGGGCAAATAAAGTTAGTTCTATTCTACTCATATCTCATATGACTTGAAGAAGTTTATTTATTTAAAAATAGGGAAAGCCCCAATACATACAAAATTAATCAATTTATAACATTAATACATAAGATAAAACTAGCAATTACACTTAAAATATAGTACATACACTTTTAAAAAATATAAAATAATACAGTGAAACTTGGATAATTCGAATCTCAGGGGACCGCTAAAAAAATTCGAATTATCCAAAATTCTACAAAAAGCAATGATACTTACAAAAGCATCTGCAAACGATAAAATTCAACACTTTTGCAGATGTTTTCGTTCCTACTCTTACCCGAATTTTGTCAATCGAAAAAAAAGGGCTAACAAAATTCGTCCAAGAATACCAATTAAAACATTTACAAGCTATAAAAATGGTTAATTATTGTAATTATGGCAGGTGTTCTCATTGTTATTTTCGGCCAATCTTGGTCGATAAAAACCGCACAGTGAGAACGTGTCATTAAAACAATAAAAATCATTTTGTCCCAAACAATTTATTGAAAATAAGAACATTTGTTACAATTAACAAAAAAGACAGTTTTTAACTGTTAAAGAGTTTAACTTTTTCCAAATAAATCCGAAATTTTTAGCTGCTTTTTAGAATTCAGCTTCTCGGTATGACAATGGCAATGAATTCTAAGGTGAACTAAAAATAGAGTCACTTATATCATTTTTACTTTCAAAGTACCGTCTAAGTTGTGTAATATGGTTCGTTGCTTCGGCTGCACTGCAACATATTCATCCACGTTGACAAAATCTTTATAAGAGATGGCAGGATCAGAAATGACGTCCTGCCAGCCGTCAACTGAAAGCAGCTCTTCTGTTAAAGTGTCGTTAGAGTTTTCTGCGTTCTCCTTTTTTACGAAACCAGCTTTTTTGAAACAGTGTTTGATCGTTTCGGTTGTGTTACTTGCCCCTAAGCTTTCTTACACATTCGAGTGGCTTGAAAAATGCCCTGGTCCAATAGGCTGAAGAACTGAAGTCATGTTGGCAGGAAAACAATAACTAACAATACACATACATCATACAATTTTCCATTAATGGGATAGTGTTCTAGGCCGTACAGTTGTCAATAAAAAAACTAACTTTTCTCTGATGAAATTTTTGTCTAATTTCATCAGCCATTTCTCGAAAAGACTCCTAGTCATCCAAGCTCTTGCGCTGCTCACATATTCCACTGGTTTTGACTTGACGTTCTTAAAACAACACGGAATAGCCGACTTACCAATCATCAGTAGAGGTACCACTTCTGATCCGTCCATGTTTGCACCAATTAGGAGACTGACTCTTTTTTTGTTTAGTTTTCCTCCGTGATATTTTTCATTTTTAAATGCCAGTGTTTTGACAGGAGTGCATTAAAAAAAGACCTGTCTCGTCAAAATTGAAGATATCTCTTTCATCTACATCCTGAATCACCTCTTCCAGTTTTTTTCCATTTGTTGGCTTCTTGTTCATTAACAGCCTCACTTTCTTCACAAATGGATTTGAATAAAATTTTGTTGCGTTCTTTGAAGCTGTCTAGCCACCCTGTACTCGATTTAAAGTTGTTTTTCCCCATTTCAACAACAAATTGTTCAGCTTTGCTTTTTATAAGGCGACCACCCACGGGAATCTCCTTATCCTTATCATGTTCACACCATTTTAAAACACATTTGGATTTTCTGTCTTCTTAACCTTTATCATTCTTTACCGCACTCACTTCAGGTTTTTTTTTATTCTTCAAGTAGGTATATCCCTCTACTTGAAGAAGTAGGTGTGAATTATCATGTGTTAGGAGGAATTCCAAAGTCCTTGGTAGTCTCAGATTTTTCCTCGTTCCATTTTCTACTTCTTTAATTGCTGCTATTTTTCCAATAACGTCAAAGTTTTGTATGTTCGAAGTTTACTGAAGAGGCACGCTAAGTGCGGGAGAATTTAGGTGCCAGCTATCTCTTTTTGCAGAAATTTCCAGAATGAAATTGGCATTTTAGCTTGTAGAGAAGTTCGAATTATCCAAAATAAATTCGAATTATTTACGACTTTTCACCATTACTTATATAGAAAATGCTAGGGACCAGAATAAAAATTCAAATTAAAGAAGATTTCGAATTAGAGAAGTTCGAATTAAGCAGGGTCCACTGTAATATATAACATAAAATATGACTACAAAACAACTACCTAACGATTGGTGCTTTTATTATGGTCCATTAATTTGCTTTTAAACATTTGTATAGATGAACAACTTTTAACTGTTTGAGGAAGTTTATTAAAAAGATCAAAACCCTTAAACAACAAAGTGTTCTCGGACGCGACTAGTTCACGTTCGAGACGCATCGCCCCGCCCCTTATTTTTCCCGTTGGCCCCTCCCTGACCTGGAAATCCCTAATCGCTACTTCAAAAAGTATAAAATTAGGCGATTTTCAGGTCAATCAGTTCAGTCCTTCACGGGCTCTCCGAGAGCTTAGTGCTCTCGGGGCTCTGCTTTCTTGTTTTTAGATTTTCCCATACTCTGTGGCTGAGATGTTATTCTACTGCAACCTGGTATTTTTATTTCGACTTTAACCTTTGTCATGTAAGAAATATCTTGCCTTTTTCAAGGCAAGATGCCAGAAGAAAACATTTACGAGTCCATACCCTGAAAATGGACTTAAGTAGAGGAGCTATCGTTGATGTTTTCGAAGCCCTCTACAGAGCACACGGTGGTACAGAAGGTGGCAAGACCCGTTCCATTTACCCCGAGGTGACAAAAGAGTTTCTTGAAGCCACCCTTTTTGTTTTCACAATGTGTAAATTGCACTTACCTCGAGTAGGGTAATTGTGAATACATATTACAATTCCGTGTAATAAACTCACAAAAGTAAGCAGGGGCCAAATTATTTAGAATTTTATAAATGAACACCATTTTAATGTAAAAGACCCTTTGTTGAACTAAAACCCACTGCAGCATGCTAAACATTGTTGCTATAGGTGTATATCTGCTTCCACCAAGAATGATTCTCATTCCATGATTTTGTAATTTTTGCAACTGGGCCGATTGATTTAAATTGAAGAGAAAAATAACTGACGAGCAAAAATCGAAGTGAGGTTGAATAATTGCATTAAAAACTGTAATTTTCATTGAAGTTGACAAATTTTTTGATATTCTTGAAAAAGTATAATTTTTTAGAAATCTTTTTTCATATGTAATTGAAATGGTCATTAAAATACAATAAATTATACAATTGAAAACCAAGGTACTTAATTGTTGTGATAAATTCGTCATTGTCAATTTGAAGATTAATAGTATTTATATCAATATTTGAGTATTTGTATTTAGTTGTTATTATCACAGCCTTCGTCTGTAACACATTTAACTTTAGTTTGTTGATTTTTAAATATTTATTAACATACTGCAATGCTCAATTCATTTTAGATACAGTATTTTTTAAGTTTGAATCAAAACATGCAAGTAGGGTATCATCTGCATACAAATTAAAGAAATCACATTTAACAAAAAAGGTTATATTATTTAGATACAATATGAACAAAAGAGGTGGTAAGACACTACCTCGAGGTACCCCAATATTAACACTAATTGCAGAAGAAGTAATATCATCAATCCTCACTTGTTGCTTTCTATCCAATAAGTAATTTTTAAACCATTCAAGAACATTTCCTCCAATACTATAACTTTCTAATTTAGTGAGAAGTATATTAAGATTAATAGTTTTAAAAGCTCTTTTTAAATCGAGAAATACTACTACTAAATAATTATCATTGTCCAATTCAGACCTGAATTTACAAAGTAAAAGTTACATTGCAGTTTCGCATGAATACTTTTTACAAAACCCTTAATGAGTATTCATTAAGTTTTCATTTTTATCAATGTGATCCATGACTTGATCATATACTACCAATTGTAATAATTTCTCAATGGGCGGAAGTATATTTATAGGTCTAAATTCATCCACCTTAATATTATTATTAACTTTTGGTATTGGAACAATTGTACTGATTTTTAATAAATCTGGAATTTTTGATGATTTAAGAGTATTTATAAAATTTAAGATAATGTGACCACAAGTTACAAAAAGCTCTTAATATTTTGGAGTTTAGTATTTCATTAATGTTACTCCTATTATGTAACAACTTAACCATGACTCCCAAGTCACAACCGAAATTCATGTATACTAGGATACAAATTCTCATATACATACTAGGATACAAATTCTGATTATCATCTAATCTTAACATACTGTTTATAATAATTATTATACGTGAAAGTCTGCAATAAAAAACAATTTTGATAAAGCTTATAATTTATTACATTTACCCTATTACATATGTCTTAAATGAAATGATTAAAAAAGAAACTTCACACATACAATTAATTAATAACTTAACTTTCTTGGTGGCTCATGGCTCTAGCTTGAGCTCTTACTCTCTTCTCATATTCCAAGCGATTTTGGCAGTAAATGGTGTAAGCTTCGGCCTGTGCAGGATCCTTCACGTTTGGCTCGTTTAACAAGTCTTGAATGCCCAAAAGAATCTGTTTGATTGTAATAGCTGGTCTCCAGTCCTTTTCTTCATCCAATAGGGACAGACAAACAGTACCTGAAACAAAAGGTGAAGATATAAAAGATTTTTTTATTGAGTTTAATGCGTCGACAACTAATGGTCATTGGCATGGTACAGTGAATTTTTACAGTCAGGTACCTAGTGTAGTGTGTGTTTGTAGAGTATACTCCATTCCACGAATATACGACTGTTTTAAATTCGCTATAAACCTTAGATTTAAATATGAAGTCATGGTATAAATATAAAGTTAATAGTTTATAGAACAGTTGTAATTCAGATTTTGAAGTATATAATTACTATCATGGAATTTAGTATTGTAAACAAGTTGGTAAACAATTTGGTTGAACAGGAATAAAGAAAGCTGAGCAACTATTTAGAATAGCTCGAGACAGAGACAGTTTCGCCATGTTAATCGCCAACATCAAGGGGACTTGATAGGGCACGTTAAGAAGAAGAAGAAACAAGTTGGTTTTTGAATTATGTGATTTAAACGAAATGTAACAATACTTAAGTGATCAAATAGCAAATAGTGTAATTTATTTAGTCGAATATTCAATTAGTATTAAAAAAAAACAAAAAAACTTACTAATTCACTTATTCTCTTAATCTTCTAAAACTATCATCAACGATCAGATTCACAGCCATAATCAGTCGGCGATATATGAAACTGTATATTAATTTTCGTTACTTTTTAATACCTGTTACGACTCTGTAGTACTTTAACTATCAATAGCCCAGTATGTTATACCCGTTACTTTCGGAACTTTTAAGAGTACATAAACTCAAAGCAAATAAATATTTAAAACTAACAAAGTGAAATATTAGATCCTTTTTCTGGTTTCTGAACCATCGTTCTGCCAATTTCTTTTCATTTATATTAAAAATAGTACATTTCTTTTTATGACAGTTGTAATACCTAATAAAGCGTATTATCAAAGAAACCCGGCACGCCTCTTTGGTGTTTACATTTCACGGAAAGCTTACCCAAATGTTTGATGAACACATTTGGCTTCATAGACGTCATTGTATTTATTTGTAGATTTTAACTGAAATAATGTTAGTTTAGATGTCATACTAGTAGACCCTTTTTAATGGAATAATGATTGGACCAATTTACCTCCATACTTCTACTTGCACAGTAAAATACTCGTTGCCGCAGTAAACCAAAACAGTCGTAAATTCGTGGAATAACCTATAATTGTCTTGATACTTAGCAAAGTCAGCGTCATTGTCTTTGCTAAGAGACGCTAATTGTATCCGAACGTCTGCGGTCCCTCCGGTGAGTACCGATCCCACAAGGATAGAAATTATTTTCATTCATTAATTTTTAATAAACGAAAATTTCTCCACCCAGGTGAGATTCGAACTCACGACCTTTAGGTCCAAAGGTAGGTGCTCTATTTAGTAATTATCTATGTAATAATGTATGTAATAAATTTTTGTTCAAAAATGAATTACCATTAATTGAATTAAAAATATTTGAGGCCACTTTTTGACTGGCAACATGTTATCAATGTATTCTCTTATTCTTAAATGTATTTAAAATTGTGAGTTTGATTAACTACATTATGAACATAATTTTGCAGTGGGATCTTACAACTATATTTTTATTTACTTATTTGATTTTACAAAATTTATTGAGACCCCAATTTTAAAATTTCAATACAATATAATGATAGAATAAATTCTAAATTTTAACACGGATATACTAGAAAAATATCTATAAAAATCCAGAACTTTAATAGGAGAGTGCAAGCCAAAATTTGTGAAGAAAAAGAATGAAAGTCAAATCATTATGCCTTATATAATTACTAAATGGGGATATTTTATTTAATTTTTAATCATCAATCAATCATATTATGGTAATTACCATCAATCCTATAATAGAGGATAATATTAAATGAGGCAAATCTTAAAAATTTGTGCTCTCTCTAACTGGCTCTTGTGAGTGATACAAGTCTTCTTCTTGTAATGCCTATCGGTGTCGGATGTTGGCAACCATCATAGCAATCTATATTATGCAAACTTCTGCTCTGAAAAGATTTGTGGTTGTTGTGTTGAACCATGTACATGGATTTTTCAGCCAGGAAATCCTTTGCCTTCCTGGTCTTCGTTTTCCTTCTACTTTTCCTTGTAGAATTAATTGCAGCAACCCATATCTTTCACTGTTCCTCATGATGTAACCAAGGTATCCGTTTTCTCTTTAACTTTCATTCTCAAGCCACATTCTCAAGCTCATTCTCAAGCCACATTAACCAAGTAACAAACAGAGCGATGTAAGTGCTGGGATTTATCCAACGCACATCTGTGGATCTGTCTTTATTTACATTTAGAAGACTTTATTGTGGTCTCGTTAGGCTCATTCTTGAGTTTGGATCAGTTGTATGGTCCCCATCATACTACTGTTACATTCAACAGATTGAAAGAGTCCAGAATAAATTTTTGAGGGTAGCAGCCTATAAGAGTGGATACAGGAGAGAGGAATACAACTATCAGTGGGTAAGAGATAGTCTTAACTTACCAACATTTGAGTCAAGGAGGACATTGTTAGATTTATGTTTCTTACACAAAGTTATCAATGCTTTTATAGATTGTCCTCAACTCTTATCGCTTGTTAGTCTTAAAGTTCCTAGTAGAAGCAACAGACATCAGAATTCTTTTCAGTACCATTTCACCACACTAATTATGGTATCAATGAACCAACTACTCGATTATTCCGGAGTGCTAATAGCTTGCCAAGACAAATAGATATTTTTGACTCCAAAATTAGTTTGTTTAAAAAACAACTAAAAAGTATCTTACAGTAAGTTGGTTGTACATCTGTATTATTCTTATATGTTTGTATTATTCTGAGGTGTTTGTTATTTTAATAATTTATTGTTGTTAAGGTGTAACTTTGTAAAACTTGTGATTGTTATTTTAATAATGTATTGTTTTTAAGATGTAACTTTGTAAAAATTGTAAGTAAATGGATACCGCATATAAATAAATAACTTTCTGGTTAACAACTCTTCTCCTTTTGGCATTCTTAATAAAACGTCCTGGTTAGTAACGTGGTAGGTATAGGATTTCTTCAGGATTCAATGATAAAGCCACATTTCAAAAGTTTCAATTTTCTTGCAGGTAGCGTCTAAGAGAGGCTATGATTTAATTCCATACTACAGTAAATGAAAGATATAACATCGTATTAACCTGATTTTTATGGGTACTGATAAGTCATGGCATTTGAATAGGTAAGATTTAATAATTTGTGCATATTCAGGAAGAAACCTGACAGGAAAAAGTGTAGAGTCTTCAATGTATTTATTTAAAAAAAAAACACTATTACATTTATGAATTATAATGCTCTTTTTTCACAAAACACACACTATAATGTCATGACATGACATATTTATGTCATTTGTGTAGATAGCAATCCATGGTAAGAATAAAAGAACCTTATAAAAAAACGGGTGTGGCAGTCCAGTGGGACTGCCGGTAGAAGTTATACTTCTATACACGTGTTCGCCGTTAAAAATTTGTATGGGAGTCAATCTGCACAATCATTACATATGTAATGCTATAGGTAAGAGAGAGCAGAAAGAGAAAAATAATTAGTTATATAGGTATATGGTGCACCGTTTGCTGTATATAAACATTTGGCCTATAGGAGTATAGTAAATGAAGGATTGTATCAATATTTTAATGAAAATACACTGCAACATAATTCAATAATAATCATTCAAGTATTTAAAACAGCCAATATACATAACTTACTTTACGAAGATAAAAATAAAAAACAAACAAATCGGATTATGTTGTAAATTTTCATTTTATTATAAAATTTTTCCATTTTTTTCGTATATATATATATATATATATATATATATATATATATATATATATATATAAGGATTAACGTGAGGTTTTTAAATATTTAAAAAATAAAAAAGAAAATTCATAATTGGGATTCAAACTCACAAACACCAGCGTATGAACCAAACACGTAAAGGATTTATCCAATTAGACATGAGACTGACGGATTTCAACATTGACAGTTCTCGGTCAAACAGTGATTATTTTGAAATACAAAAGCCTAAAATAATTATAAACGTTTAATAAATAATATTAATACATATTATATATCGTCGTCGACACAAGAAAACCGGTTAACTCCAATTTTTACTTAAAATGAGATTTCACTGTCAACTTTTAGCAAATTGCCTATTCTAGCCATCCGACAAATAATACGTCATTTAAATGTAGATTTCTAATTTTAAAATGTTTACTAGAAAAGCAGGTATCTCCCTTGTCAAAAAATTATGTTTGTAAAACACGTAACTCCGCGCATTTTCTGTTAAGTCTGTTAAGTGATTATGGCCGTTGATTTGATTTGTTGTTTTGGAGGGATTTGTTGTTTTGGAACATGCTTTTAATAAGTTCTAGACATAGACATGGACAGAAAAGAGAATGTATATCAAAACGTGGGGAGTATTTGAAGCAACAAAACGGAAGAGGGATAGAAAAAATGAAGATGTATCACTGAGGTCTAAGACATTAAAATATTATTTGAAATTTGGAGAAGATAAACGAATGGTATGCAAAAAAAAGTTTTTGTCAACTCTGGGCCTTAAAGATTGGTTTGTTATGAATTGCAAACAAGAAGATGATTCTGCTTTTACAAAAAATTTGGATAATGAACCACAACAAGCGCCTAAAGGACTTCACAAGAAGAAGTTGGACAATCGTTATAGTTTTTTAGATAGCCTGCCGAAAATGGAATCGCATTATTGCAGGAAATCAACTAGTAAATTATATCTAGAACTATTATGGCAAAGCAAATGTCAACTTTACCATATTTACAAAAAGGAATGGTACCTAGAAAAACGAATCAACAGTCTCTCTTTATCTTCTTTTAAAAACGCTTTCCTGGAAAAGAGGTTGGCTTTGTATAGACCAAAAAAAATTTTTTGTGTGAAATATGTGTCTTTTTTAAAACAGGAAATCTTGATCAAGAAATATTTAGTGAACATTAGTTGAAAAAACAAGAAGAGAGACTTGAGCAAATTAAAGATAAAACAGTGAAAGCATTGTATTGACAATAAATTTACAGGCAGTCCTTATATGTCCTAAGTCCAATATTTCTTCCCTAAGTTGACATATAAATGATAAAAATATTGACAATCCACAATTTCACATTCTATAACTTACACACAAAACAAGGGCATTGTTTTCTTTAAGATAAGTCGGAGGGGAATCTTACCAGTGCCGAAATTGCTAGTGTGATCGGCACCCAGATGGAGGCCGACATGATGCACAGTACAATTGAGAGACAATTAAGAAGATGCGATATTAATGTGCCTGGTGATTACATACAAATATGCAAAAGAGCGCGGAAGGAAAATCTATTTGTAGTAACTCGACTATACCATGATTTTCTTAAGGACTTCAGAGCAGTAAACTGTGTAAGCAGTATCCGACTGAGTAAAAAAGGGTGATGCAGTTGTGACAAATATTAGAGCTACAAAATATTCACCACAAGGTATTCATTACAAGTTGGGATTTGGTGAAAATTGGATTGAACTGCGTTGTCGAATAAATCAGAATGTGACACCCAAAACTTTCGCAGATCTGCCGAAGCTTTATACAAGTAGAATACCATTAAAAAAAGACAGATTCGAACATTTTCAGTATTTAAAAAATACGCTTGATTTCGATTACCACTCATTTTATGTCAATCTCCCTCACTAATTTTGTTTTTTTTTAAGTCCTATCGTTGTTGTACTACACTTGTTTTTGTACATATTTATGCGATTTTATTTTAGATTTATTTTAGATTAAAATTTTATTTATTGTTAAAAAGTGAGGCTATTTATTTCTAACATAGGTAATAAAATAACACTAAATTTTATGTTAAACGTTTTTCAAAAGTATTGGTCTGTATTTCATTATTAGGATATTTTTATGTGTTTCAGATATGTTTTTATAAATCGATAACTAATGCTTTTTATTAATTTTTTTCCAATCCAGCGTTACAAAAAATGCCACGTAACTCCATAGGCATGTCTCATTCCAAAAGAAGAAAAACCTGTAACTCCATATTTTCTGTATTTCTAGTTGTATCTGCCAGATTTTGAAATTAAAATTGATATAATTCAGCTTAATATGATCTAAAAACTCAAAATATAGTTGTTTATTCGTCCTTCTTTATCAAATAAAAGATATCAGTGAAAATGTTACTGTTTTTAGACTCTCCTGAAAAATTAAGGAAAATGGAGTTACGAGTTTTTCTTGTGTTGACGACGATATATATATATATATATATATATATATATATATATATATATATAAAATATTATATAATATTATATATATAATATTAAATATATATACAAAAGGAACATTTTTATTCTTGAGAGAGGAAGAGAGAGAAAATATATCTTCTGTCTCTCTCTTACTCATTATCTTACATATGTAATGCTTTCACAGATTCACTCTCATGCAAATTTCCAACGTCGACCGTGCGTATAGAAGTATAACTTCAAAAACTTAACATTTAGAACTAAGACTGACAGTATGAGTTTTCTTGTTTTTAAACTTGGAAAATAAGTTTTTTCCTCTCTATTTTTATTTACTGAATTTGTTAATCATATCATGATGTGACTTTGTTTATTTGAAAAGTTATCACATCAAAACCTCTTAAATGGCTATTAGTAGATTATGAATAATAATATAGAATCATTAGAATTCTGAAAAAATAAGGAATTGTTGGAAAGATTGTAAAATACTGTCCATGATTACTAATTCATAGAGTCTTTAAACATTACCTGATGGATATACATTGGGATGAAACAATGGTGGTTCAAATTTGCATTTGGGTGGACTAGTGGGGTAATCTTCCTTGAATAGCATTCTCAATTTGTAGTGTCCTTCCTCCCATGGTGTCCCTTTTTTACCAGGAATGGAGCACTCCCAATTCATTAAGTTAAGTGTACCATCTGGGTTTTTGGATGGTCGGGCTACAAAACCAAATGGATGATCTTTTCTCCAGGCTTTTCTCTCTTCAGTCAAACGAGCCCCTGCTATACCAGACATTCTGCAAATAGGAAAATTAACACTGATGACTACTGTCTCTTTATTATAAAATAGCTACTATAATGAACTATATAATTTTTAGTTAAAAAAATAATTGCTATACTCTATTCACTGAAGTCTGTTTTAACTGACTAGCAAATTAAGTAGCACTAATTTTGTGCTATGGGGTTCAAATGGGGTAGTGCTGCGAAAAATATGACGCTGCATCCTGTTAGCGCCACTAGCCTCTTCTACTCAATTCCAACTCTCACCTCCACGCGGTGAACCCTGGTAACCTGAGCGACTCTGTGGAAGATTGTGGTAACCAACCCCAGTGGGAAGCAGAGTCAGGGCAAACGAGAGTGGGAGAAATGGTCCTTCGAAGATTAGAGGGTTGGGCAAAAAGTTAATGACCTCTTCCGACTTTATGCCCCAGGTGCTCTTAGACTGCTAACACAAGAACTTGATAAAATGAAAGCCGATGTAGTAGCGATTCAAGAGATGAGATGGACTGGTTCAGGAATCATCGAGAAAAGCAATTAGTCCTTAACTTTAAACCCATAAACAACAGAATATGTTATTTATGTCTTAAAGGAAAATTCTTTAATTATAGCTTACTTAGTGTACACGCACCTACGGAAGAAAAGGAGGATAATGAAAAAGATGAATTCTATGACACCTTAGACAAAGAATATGATCGATGTCCACGCCATGACGTGAAAATCATTGCTGGGGACCTTATTGCAAAAATTGGCAAAGAGCAATTTTTCCAGCCAACTATAGAACGTGAGAACTTACATGAAGAGTCAAATGATAACGGGTTGAGACTAATAAACTTTGCAAGTACTAAAAACATGATAGTAGGAGGAACAAGATTTCCCCATAAAATGATACACAAAGGAACATGGAAATCCCCTGATAACGAAACCATTAACCAGATAGATCACATCCTGATAGATGCAAGGCACTCTTCCGATCTCATAGACGTCAGAAGCTACCGAGGCCCGAACATTGACAGTGACCACTTTCTTGTAATGGCAAAAATCAGAGGAAGAATATCAAACCAAAAGAAAGATAAACACACGAAACAAGAGAGAATTAATGTTGATAATCTGCGCATTGAAACCGTTGCGAGAGAGTATAGGAGACAAATGGACGAGGAAATGGAGAGCCTGGAGGTGGGGAAAAATGTAGAGGAACTGTGGACAAAATGTAAAAACATAATAACTGAGAAAGCAACAAAAATATTGGGGAAAACCCAACCAGTTAAAGAAAACGAATGGTTTGACAAGGAGTGCCAAGAAGCAACAGATAACAAAAACAGGGCATACCTAAAGACAAATCAAGCTGGATACACAAGAAGAGCAAAGGAAGAATACCGGACACTAAGAAGAGAAGAAAAACGATTACATAGAAGAAAAAAAAGACAATTTGAGCAAAAGCAGTTGGAAAGCACAGAATGGCTAAGAAATCAAAATGAAACTTGAAAGTTCTAAAGAAATCTAAACAAAATGCGCAAAGAGTTTAAGCCAAGAATAAGGAGCTGTAAGGATGTAGAGGGAAACATCCTAAATGATACGGCCTCAATCCTAAACAGATGGGTTGAATTTTTCAATGCAAAATTTAATGGCCATCATATCGAAGAAGCAGATAACACCCTAGGAAATAGAAATGATTGGAATCCTTTCAACCCAAACGAAAGACCACCTACCATCGAAAACGTTGCCAAGCCATTAAAAAGCTTAAAAATAATAAATCACCAGGAGTTGATCAAATTTGCAGTGAGCTCTACAAGAATGGTGGCGATGCCCTACTACAGACACTGCACAAGCTTTCTGCCAATGGTTCATTATCAAACCATTATTTTCAAACATGAGATGTGATAAATCAAATTTTTTTTGTATTTTTATAACAATTGACATAAAAATAGGTTAAAAAATAGTTAGAAAAAAGTTTTAGCAATAAAATTACTACACTAAAAATAAAGTTGTGTTGAAGGATTTAAAATGTCAGTTTTTAGAAAATATTTTTGTAAAGCAAAAATTAGTCTGGAAATTAAACAAAATTTAGTTACACTTATACCTTCTGGTTGCTCAAAAGTGGGAAGATTAAAAAAAATAAGGTATCACCAATAAAATGGTGCATTTTTGCACCATTAGTGCTAAATCATTTAATAGTGACTCTAGGAATTTTTGTGTTGTATGTTTTTGACAATAAATCTGTCAAAATATTACCAAGCAGCAAGCTATGCAAAAAGACTATATACAAGGGTTCTGAAACTGATTTCTTGTGGCATAATTTAAATATTTTATATGGGATTAAGCCACAATAGATTGTAATTAAAATTACGTTTTTAACCAACTAAAGTTTGATATTTGCACTCTGGAAGTCGTTCTCGAAAAAGAATATGTTTTCTATAATTCTAGGAAATATTGTGAGTAGTGATAGGTATATCATAACATATTACTATTAACAACTCATTGGTTATATCATTATATTTCCCAAGATTTTTAAATTTAATCTTTTTTGGGAACTATTTCCAGAGTGGAAATCAAAACATCAAACTTTAGTTAAAAATGCAATTATATTACCCAGCTCAGTGAATCCACTATTATACCAATATCAAAGAATATAGACGCTTATAGAAGAATTTTTCACTGTTATTTTTGAAAGTCGGCAAAATATGATCGCACGTTATGAAAAAGAATGAGAGGGTGGATCTAGGTTTTAGTACCAATAGGGAGCAGTCATGTCAGCGCTATTATTGCTTTTAAAATATGAAAGAGTGGAGGAACAAATGCTACAGATATTTTTATGTAGATGCCGCGTGACCGTAGAATAGGATTAAATTTTTGCGTTTTATACCATTTTTTAAAGAAAATAATAACATTTTAACTTTTAATAAATGAATCCTTTTAGAAAAAATATGATTCAAATTTTTAATTTAAATATGTACAAATCTACAAATAATATAATTAAAACTCTCTTATTTTATAATAAAACAAACCTATTTTTAATTCAAAGTTATAAAATTTAAAAAATAAATGCTTTGAATATTGTAAATATCGATACATTTTTGGCAAAATAATGTAAGTGACATTTTTGGCGAAAATCATATTTTTCAATTAAACTAACGGTATTATTGTTAAAAAGGTACTGCCAAAGTGTAATAAGCATATAATTACTTTAAACCTTTTTTAGGACAAGTAGGACAAGTTTGTTTCAGTCATAATTTAAATAAGCTTAACCAGGTTGAATTAAAAATATGTTTTTTCTACAAATCGTTTTTGGTGACTTATGTTACTTTGCCAAAAATGTATTGATATCATACCTTTTTAAATTTCAAAATTAAAAATTTAACAATTTAATATATTAAAACTAAAGATTTTATTGTGAAAAAAACAAAAAAGCATCGAAATTTGTTTAGGCGTAGATGCAAAGTTAAATAAATAGCTCCATTCGTACTCCTTTCCCACTTTCCCCTAACTACATCTTTTATGATAGTTTTAAGCAGACTGACCCAGAAGTGCTTTGAAGTATAAACCATAACCAAATCGTCCGTTTGAACTGTTCTTCTATAAGCGTCTATATTCTTTGCTAATATATACAATACTTAGTTGACAAGTTTCAAAATATGGAATCAGTATTTCAGTCAACATCAAATTAGAAGTTATCCAGTTCAAAATAATAGTCTCACTATATGCAGTGAACATGTATCTTCATCAAGCTATTCTTGTATGGTCAAACGTTCTAATTTAAAACTTTACTGAAACAATTAGAAACAGCTTAATACATGGATTGATCTACACAAAAGTGTATATGGGTATATTGAGATTTGGTGTTCACAAAAATAAAAAATAGAAATATCTGGATTTGAGGAATATAAATGAACAACAATGAACAACAAAATGAACTTTCAACAGTTTTTATTGTCATTAAATACCGTTTTAATATTGGAACAAAAATGTATCTCTGATTAACAAATGGTATATATTGTCACCAAATACATCACCACTACACATACATTACATCTAGACCAACAATGAAAACAGCAGAAGGTTGTGATAGAAGTATACAATTAACTAGTTAATAACTAAAAATTTATAAAAACAGAAATGTTAGCTACATCAGTAGCGCACCTAGGATATTCCTCTGGGGGGCGGGGGTTTGGTTGAACACCGAAATTTTATTATGCTACCTCCACCATTTTAAGGCCTTAAAATTTGTAAATAGCAGTGTCGGAATACTGGGGGGGTTTTAACCCCCAAAACCCTTCCTGGGTGCGCCACTGAGTTACATTCAAATAATTATAAATTTTTTCATCCAGTTGACAACGATGAATTGTCAGTGACGATTGTTTATACATTTTCTTTGTATGTAAATTATTAAAATTAGGAAAGATAAGTACATAATCAGCACAATGCAATATTTCTCATGCTACCTCTACCTCGTTTGCCGATGTAAAACGCGGGCAACCACCTTAGGACGCCTATGGCTCACAAGGTAAATTTACCTATAAAGATGTCTCTTCACTTCTTATAGTTAAGTAAAACAGTTGAGAATGTAACTTACTTGGATATGTAATGAGTAAAGCTACCGATTACACTAAATTAGAAGATTCTGTATTATTTTCCGACTACAACCACAAAATCACAGTTAATAATCACAGAGCCGACGAGCCGAGGGAAAATGCTTGACAAGAGACAGAAGACAGAAGAATAATTTTGACCGTAACACGTAACAAATGCTTACACCACACCACCATATTATCGTCAGTTGTTATTGGTCAGAGTATACCGATTGGGCCAATAGAAATATTTTAATCAGCTAATGAAAACTTGTGAAGAATACAAAATACAACAGTATTCAGTATGCTGTAAGTAGTAAGAGAATCTGGAAACTACGTCATTGGAAACTGACCTAATAAATACAGGGTCGTTCTTAAGTGATTATACAAATGGAAACAGTAGATTCCAAACTTTAAAATATTATGAAGATTTAAGCCAACTTGCTTTAATAAAATATTGATATTAAGAAAGATCCAGGGAGTTAATTCAAATTTAAAATTTTTTTTTTTTTTTCTATAACTTTCATGTTTGTGTATATTTATTCATAAAAATGTTTCATGTTTCATGTGTTCATGTTTTTTTCGACTTTATTTTATGGAATGAAATCTTGGGCCTTGAATGCGACATCAATAAAAAAACTGAAATCATTGGAGCTGTGGGCGTGTACAGAAGAATACTGAAAATATCGTGGATAGAAGACGTCACAAATAAAGAGGTTCTGGAAAGGATGAATAAAGAAATGGAAATTTTAAATACAATAAAAACAAGAAAATTAGAATATCTCGGACATATTACACGTGTAGGAATACACCTTGCTCCAACTGATTATGCAGGGAAAGGTCCAAGGAAAGAGAAGCATAGGGAGGCGTAGAATTTCATGGCTGCGCAACCTGGGATAGTGGTACAGATGTACATCAAATAAACTTTTCAGAGCAGCCGTCTCAAAAGTCCGAATAGCTATGATGATTGCCGACCTTCGCCGCGGACATGGCACTTGAAGAAGATAATTATAGTCGTAAAGTATATTCGAAGAAGCATCCGAAGAAGAGTTAATCAGTAAGATGGAGGCAAAGGATACAGACAAAGGAAGATAGGTACACATGCCTGTTACTAGCACAATAGCATACCAGTACTTAGCAAGCATCAGTAACTGCCCCCAAACTGGCAAGTGTATACGTTAACTGGCATGCTAGCTAATTGCAAAGAATTTGATTTTTCTTGCTAGTAGCATGCTGTGAGATGCAAGGCGCATGCGTGGGGAGTGTCCATCGAGCAATAAGACAAAAGAGGGAATCTAATCGTTATGAAAAGGCATCGAGCAAAAAGACAATAGAGGGAATGTAAAGGTAGTGGGGGCAAACATATTGTTAGACAGGAAGTGCGATCTTTAGAGGCCACATTAAACAAGAAAAGAGAGTCTCTCTCCTTGTTTGACATCAAATTTAGTTGGGTTATGTTATTGTTTCTCCCAAATGTCACATGAAATCTTATTTATATTGAAGTTTTTTAACAATTATGTCGCATTTTAGACTATTATCATTAATAATTAATTAAAACTTTCTCGTCTAAGACACATTCTGAAAAATATTATATAGCTACTGTTGATAAGTGTCGGAAAATTTAAATTTGGCGCATTCGCATTTCCGGATATGTCCGCCATCAGAGGCCACTTTTTTGGTCTCCTTTTCATAAGGATTAGATTCCCTCTTTTGTCTTATTGCTCGATGTGAAAAGGAGACCAAAAAAGTGGCCTCTGATGGCGAACATATCCGGAAATGCAAAGGCGCTAAATTTAAATTTCATGACACTTGACAATAATCATACAGTGATGTAGGGGTTCTAATTTATCTATTTATTTATTTTATATTACATAATATTTTATATTATATATTTATCTATTTATTTATTAAAATTATTTATTAAAATACTTTTTTTAACACTAGAACACAATAAAGTTTTAATTAATTAATAACGATAATAGTCTAAAATGTTAAACAATTGTTAAAAAACTTCAATAGAAAATATAAATAAGCTTTCATGTGACAGTTTTGACAAACAATAACATCAACAATAACATAACCCAACTAAATTTGATTTCTTAAACAAGGAAAGAGATTCTCTTTCTTTGTTTAAAGTGGCCTCTCAAAATAGCACTTCCTGTCTATCAATATGTTTACCCCCACTACCTTTACATTCCCTCTTTTGTCTTATTGCTCGATGGGAGTGTCACTGGCATGTGTGAACGCGCGCTACCGCTATGGGCATTAGTGGTGGGCTTCATAGTTCCTTTCTAGGAACTAGTTCCTTAGATCTAGTTCCTAAAAAGGAACTAGTTCCTGGAACTAGTTCCTGGAACTAGTTCTTTGGAACTATGACTAACTTTGCGATCAGATCGGTATGATCAATTTTGATATGAATCGGCTCGAGTGTTTAGGTTCGATATTCGGCATCACAAATAAAATAAAAGTAAAATATGGTAAACGATGGGAAACTAAATTCGAAAGCATTGGTTTAAATAATTATTTCACGAAAATAACGAAGTCGTGTTTTACTTTATCTAAACATATTTTGCTGAATTTTAAATCAAAATGCTATTATTTTTCTATGATTGTTGATTTGTTATTTATTTATTTTCTCTCTAAGAATTTTTTGTTCTTCAAAGATTTATTTATAAACAAAATCTGTGCGATGTTAAACACATTGTATACATTTATATACTTTACTTACATAGCAATTTTTTTCGACATAGAAGACAGGAAGTCGTAAAATTTAATTATATCGTTGGGTGTAACAGTGGCTTCCCACGGTCGGCGATTCTACAGATCATCGCGGACAGCCGATCAGCACGGACGAGAACGCACCGCAGACGGAGCTCTTCCCACGGTCCGTGACAGTCTGTGTAGGTCCGTGACAGTATTGTTTGATTATATCATAAAAAGGCCACTCAGGCTTGTAAACATTAAATTCGGCATTAAATTATTTCTCTTCTTTTTTAATTCTTTAATCGAAATAGTACTATTCTTCAATTTATTTTTTATTTGGTTCCATACATCGTGTATATCGGTTCCGCTTCTTATGCTCTGGTGCCGTAGAATTCCATAAATTTGTTTCATTTTGACACAAATTTAAAAGATCAAAAATAACTTCGTTTGTCCATTCCATTTTTTAGCATAAAACTGCAAAACAACTTTGACAACACTACAGACAACTACTCGTGTCAGCGAATGAAAAACTTCTGACTTGCACTTGTCGTCTGTTAAAACACAGACGCGCTAGGATCGCGTCGCACGAGCATGTACCGCACCTTTGATGTTACCGACTCTAGATGGATAGGACGGACCAGCACAGACGTGCCTGCGCTACCACGGACGAGACCCTTCCCACGGTGCGTGGTGCGTGCTGGTCCGCTTACGTCCGTAATATCGCGGACCGTGGGAAGCCGTTATAAGAACTACATTCATTTTACATATACCCAATTGTCAATACAAGCACGTGAAAGCCAAACAGGATCATACTAATGTGTATCATATAATTTTTTTAAAAGATTTACTTTTGAAACTACAAGCGTAAGAATTTCTTAAAATTTAATCAATAAATCACAATTAAACTAAACTCTAAAAATATCATGACCAGTAAATAATTTAACAATAACAAACTATAACATAAATATAATACGGCTACTACACACAATTATAATAAATTAATTTAAGCACAGTATAATGTATATACGTATGTATGTACCTACAAGCTGAAGTTATAGCCAACGATCAAGCATCGCATACCGGACTGATCACGATGATTCCTCGTTCCTCGGAACTATGTTAGTTCATCCACTAATCGGCTCCGGCTCGGAACTAGTTCCTTTTTCATTTTCGTCGATCGAAGAAGAGATGCAGTTCGCGCACAAATGACGGTATCAAATCAGGAGTGACGTTAATAGTTCCTCGGAACTAGTTCCATTTAATTTTCGGATCTATTTCATTTATAATATAAAATGAACTAGTTCCAGGAACTAGTTCGTTCCGGAACTACCCACCACTAATGGGCATGCCAGTAGCTAGCAGAGAATTGTCAGATTTGTTTTGTTGGTGATAAAAATTAATCGTTTTATTTTTAAACTTGTTAATTTAAAAATATTTCGTTGGGGTGATGAAAAAACCATCAAATTTATTACCATATATAGAGAATTTGAGTGTCTTTTGAATTCTAAGGTCTGTTTTAAGACAGTTTTACATTATGCTATTTTCATGCTAGGCAAGAGCCATGCAAGACAGATCATGGAACTGCGCATGCCCACGGGCTATTTCCATGCAATTCCTGTGCTAGACGAAAAATTAGAACATGTTCTATTTTTCATGCAATTTATCGTTAAAATTCATGTTGCCAACATAACAATTTATAATAGATTACAGAATAAAACATAACCTTATCTCTATCTTTAGCGTCCCTTAACCCATATGTGTATTGTTGTGTTTTGATTTAAATTAAGTTTATTAAGTGGTGATAAATAGATATACTATGTCTAAATTTAAGGCTGTTTTATCGGTGCACCAAAATTTTTTCTCTGTTATTTACCGACGAAATGTCTCGAAATTTGGACATGTTATACGAAATTATGTTGCTTTTAAACTGATGGTTTTACTTTTTTTATTTTTTTGAATTTTCTGTTGAAAAATTGGATTATACTGTTTAACGTTCTATTATAACCAAACTTTTCACGCCCATCAGTTGAAAGAGTTTTTTTTTCTGTAATCGTTGATTCTTTTTTCACCTTTCTGTGTCCAGTAATAATCGAGAAAAGCGTATTCAAACTTTGAAGAAAATTGCTAAAAAATACTGAAATCTAATAGTGAAACGTGTTCCTCATCATTGTCGCAGAGCTTGATCGTTATCGCATTAGTGACGTCAAATCACATGAGCGTACGGTACGGTCTTATTTTTATTTCTCTATGGGTACGGTCAGTTAGTTCGCTTGAATTAGAATCCATTTTAGTTCTTTCATTCTTGTATTTTCTTTATCAACTTGCTTAGTTTTTACAGTTTACAGTATTCTTATTTATTTTGAAAACATTGAAATTATTTAGTTTACGTGTATGTTAAGTAATATATTATTAGTTTAGTGGTATAAGTTAAAAGTTCTTTAGTTTACGCGTATTTTTAAGTATTACATTAGGTTAGTGATATAAGTTATAAGAGACAAGATAAAAAATGAGTCCCAGTAAACGTCCTATGTCAAGGAAAAGGAGAGCAATTGCACTGCTTTAGTATTTATTATTTATATTATAACCGTTTTTAAAAGCTTTTATTTAACTTTATATATATATATATATATATATATATATATATATATATATATATATCTATGTCATATATATATATATATATATATATATATATATATATATATATATATATATATATATATATATATATATTCAAGGTTTGAATAATCATTCTCCATTTTCATGCAACTTTTCTAATATGGAGATTATCAAAGAAAAAATGGACGGATTGATAAGTACATTGACTTTTAAATGTCAAATGTGGAATATTGAAAAGGAGATAGCAACATAGGATTCTGGTAACAATTCACTGAACTTGAATGGTTCTGGTTATTCAGACATACAGCAGCAGCACGCTGCATTAAATATACCTGTGATTTCCTACAGGCAGTATGCAAAACATACGGAAACAGTTGCAGATATCATCGGCCAAACACTTTGTGATTCCTTAGAAGAGGCTGGACGGGAGGAATTAGCTTTAGCCAAAGAAATTGGTGAAGTAGATTCCGACGGAAATGAGTTAATAACCGTTATAGCTGATGGTGCTTGGTCAAAAAGATCGTATAAAGTAAACTACGATGCTTCTTCAGGTGTAGTACCTGACGTTGTAAAATTTATTAAATTAGTACGCCTTTGATAGATAGGACATGTAATTAGGCGAGATGAAGATGAAACGATCAGAAAAATTTTCGACCGAAGAGGACCAGTGGGAAGACGATCCAGAGGAAGAAAAAAACTTAGGTATCAAGATAACATAGAGGATGATCTAAAATCCATCGGAGTTAAAGCATGGAGAAAGTTGCCAGAGGCAGGGGCGAATGGAAGATTGTTCTGAAGAAGCCTTTGGCTCATGACGAGCTGAAATGCCACTGATATGATGAAATAACTATCCACGATTTGTGTTTTATTCATCAATTGGATACTTTTCTTATGTAACTGCAACCTATAAATATATTAAAATAATGTATATTCCATTCAGAGAACTTTTTCCTCGCAGTGCGTCGCCTCGAAATACTTGCCAGATAAATACATTTACTATTATGATGGTTTCGCAGGTACCAATTTTTTATAGATAAATAGAAATATTTTTTGTTTAATTTTTACTACGCTAATATCAGTTTTCTCTAACAAATATTAACAAAATATTAATTATATATTAATATCAATATAACAAAATTTAAATTTATTATAAATAAACACCATGGTGTTTTTTGCAGTCACGTTTCACAATTTTTTATTTAATACTATGTTTAGCTAAGACATATAAATTAAAAATGTGATTAATTCTTTTTAAAACATTATCTACGATAATTAATCAAAAAAAAAGTATTCCGACAAAACTAATTTGAATGGAGAATAATGCATTTATTTTAAACAACCCGTGGGCCGGCGCCCCTGAATAAACATCCAAACTATTAGGAAGTCACGTAGGGTCTGGTCTGACATAGCAATGTAGAAAAGTAAGTGATACGCCCACTTCAAATCGCAATATGCTATAACTGCGAAAACAGCCTTAATGTAAAAACGACTGGGTGAGTCGTTGACTATGGATGATTGTTGCTACAACAGCAATATTCAACAATAACAATGTTTTCTTTTCTTTGGTTGTCATCCTTCACCCTTTTAATAACCATAAATAGTGTATATTTTTTATTATATTATTTATTTTAGTACTTAATTATATTTTTTATTTAAAATAAAATAACCTCAAATTGATAAATATTTTCTCTGTTGGCAACAATGAAAGTGGGATCTAAAATTGCACAGAAATATCTCTGATGTAAAAAGGTCAAGCTAGGCAAGATATGTGCCATGCAAGACGGACTTGCATAGCATGAGACTTGCATAGCCTAGATGTAAAGCTGCCTTTAGACTATAACATAAAATGATATAAGAAAATGGTATACTAAGTTTTGTCATAATGTAAAACAGAAAACAAAATCTGTTAACAGAAAATGTTATAGAAATTAGAACAGGTCCTATTTTGATACCAATTATTAGTATACACGCATGCGCAGTTACAATTTTGTATCCTGTTTGGTAATATCTTCTCGAATCAGTTCAAGTTCATTAAATTGTGGCTTTGTGACACAATTGTGGCTCCGCTTGTGACACATTCTTAAAAATTATCTATATTTTTTCAGAATCATTGTCTTTTAATTCAGTTTACAACATACTTAAAACACCACGACCTTCCTGTATTTTTTGAAGCCAAGCTCTAGACCATATATTTCGTTGGCGTTTTTTCTTGCTTGTCTGAATTAAAAGAAATGTAATGGAAGCAGCAGATAATAGGAGAATTTTCTTATCCATCATAAATATATACATGTCTTTGCATGTAGCAAAAGTAAAACGAGGGTAAAACTAACTAGGTATTTACGTGGGTAAAAAACTAGGTTAAATGTTGAAGAAAATGAGTTTACGTTACAATAACAAAAAGAAGAATAAGAACATTGAGGTTAACAGAACATGTACACCAATATAATAATTTTAAAAAATGACTGTTTTAGCATGTAATGCACAGAATCACATAACATATTTTGATACCAAAATGTGACAATGTAAATCATCTCTATATACAAATAAAATAGCCCGTGACAATGCCTACACAAAAATTTAAGAGGAAATGGGTGAATGTATTACTATAAAAGAGATAAAGGCCAAAATAAAAAATTTTCTTTCCTACCAATCCAATGTTTCACCCAAATTTTTCTCTTTTTTGAGTTCCTCTTCGAATTCATTATTAAATTTCCAACAATATCTGTGGTCATCAGCAACATTTGCTTGTTAAATTCATTCCGAATACCTTCCATGGATCCCCTTTTTTGTTGAAAACTCAAAACCTTTTAATTACAAAACAATTACTTTAGTTTCAAATGAAAACCACTCGATTGTTTACTAGCACTAACATGTGTAAGAATATACCCTGCTTTTTCGCCTTGCCAGTACAGGCAAGCGAGCTGCTGTCATGCCAATTACTAGCAAATGTGTTTTGTGCTTGCCAGTTACTGGACTATGCCAGCTACTTTCCTAATTGACTGGCATGTGTGTACCCGGCTTAACTGACAAACACAAAACACATTTGGTAGTAATTGGGATGCCAGTAGCTCGCTTGCCTGTACTGGCAAGGCGAAAAAGCAGGATAGACTTTTACACATGCCAATGCTAGTAAAAAATTGAGTGGTTTTCGTCTGAAACTAAAGTACTTGTTTTGTAAAAGTTTTTGAAGGTATTCGGACTGAAATCAACAAGCAAATATTGCTGATGACCACTGATATTGTTTGAAATTTAGTAATGAGTCCGAAGCGGAACTCAAAAAATAGAAAAATTTGGGTGAGAAATTGGATTGGTAGGCGAGAAAATCTTGGAGCAATTTTTTATTTTGGCCTTTATATTAATACATTCACCCATTTTCTCTTGAATTTTTGTGTAAGCATTGTCACGTGCTATTTTATTTTTATATAGAGATGCCTTAGAATTTAAGACACTCCAATTCTCTATTATATAGCAATCAATTTGATGGTTTTTTCATCTCCCCAACGAAACACTTTTTAAATTAACAAGTTTAAAAATAAACCGATTAATTTTATCACCAACACAACAAATCTGACAATTCGCTGCTAGCTACTGGCATGACCTAAGGGGTAGCGCGCGGTCTCACATGTCAGTGACACTCCTCACGCATGCGTCTTGTATCTCACAGCATGCTACCATCAAGAAAAGTCTAATTTTTTGCGATTAGCTAGCATACTAGTTAATGTACACACTTGCCAGTTTAGGGACAGTAGCTGGAGTTTGCTAGGTACTGGTATGCCATTGTGCTAGTAAAAGGCATGTATATCTTCGGCTTACTGACTGGGCCGATATCCGCTCCGCTCTCTGTTAAATGTGATGTGGTAGAGGGATTGCGTGGAAATAGTTCATAATCCAGCAGTCCATAGCTTTATCTGTATATACACAATTATTAGAGGTACTCAGTTTTCAATTCTTCGAAAAATGGTACCCACTAATATTTTGTAGAAGTACACTACTCTAGCTGTACATTGTAGTACACTCTAACTGTAGAATTTTTTCTTAATCAGTGCTATGTGTATCTCCCTCAAAACTAAACATAATTTTTTCATGTAGTTTGAATTAGCACCGTTTTGGAAGCAAAGCTTTTTTATCACGGGCTACGACACTACGTGGAGTAGTAAATAAATCAAAATATATTAAATTAAAATAAAATATAAAATAAATTAAAAATGGTCGCTCCAAGCGTAACCGATAAGAAAAATATGCTTTTCCTCCTTGAGTGTGACATCCCGTGTTTTAGTTAAAAACTCATTCACGCTGTTTACTTGTACCTCTATGTATCTTTACATTGACAATGTCAATCCATAAATGTGTGGTCATTCTGTACGGTGATTTCACGTCTTTTTACTTTCAATTTTTTTAGATGGCTCTATTTTCAGATATATTATTTTTTGAATACAACAAAATTTCATTTGTAAAGCATTTTTGGAACTTTTGTAGAAAGTTTTAGTGGCCAAAGTTTTCTAAGTTTTCTCTTAACTAAGCCAAAACAAACCAATAGCAAAAAGATATTTTATTAAAACATTTTATAAAAATAGTACATTATGTATATAGCTAACAGATCAGTGGTGGAACAAACGCAAATTAGTGTGGGCCAAGACGATTTTGTGTTCATTGCAAGCTTTAATAACTTCGTCATCATTCGTGGAACCTGATGGACTGCCAATGTATGAGACTCCACTCTGAAATGGTAATGTATGTTAATTTCATTCTGTTAATACATACCGTAATTACCAGTTGGGAAGAACCAACATATTTAGTATTTCCGAATGTTGTCGGGAAGTCGATGGGTGATATTCAAAGATTTATGCCGTGGTCGGTGTACCTAATACCGTTCAGGTTAGAGCGGTACGAAAATGAGAATATGCGTTGGTTCTTCCTAGCTGGCGAGCACTGGTATCGAAAGTAATTTTTTAAAAGGATTTTGCCATTATTTATTAACACAATTAACATTAGTTTGATAATAAAATTATTATAGCAGAATTATAACATTATTGGTTACGACAGGTTACTTTTAGACATTAAAATTATTTCTTACCAGTCGCGCTCTATCCACATTGTCTCTGAAGGGGAAGAAAGCATCAGAAGATACAACAACGCCATTCAAGTGGCTCAACCATGTTTGTCTTTCTGTTGGCGTTAATTCGAGGGGAACTTCTACGTACATTGATTCGAAAAGGGATCTATCCATATCTTTACCTGAAAAAATTGTAATTTAAAATACATCGTATTAAATAAAACAATATATCAAAACAATTGTCTGGTACCCAGCGTGGAGCTCGTTTACTGAAGTGTTTTGTTAATTTGTTATTTAAGATTTTTATAAAAGTGAAAGTGACACCGTGATTATGGCAAGCTCTGCTGAACAACTCCAATTACTGCTAATAAAAAAAAACAGTTTCTGTGAAACATATGGACTAAAAATGAATATAAAAAAGACCAAATACATGATAATAACAAAAAATAAAAACAAATATACCAACATACATTTGGGAAATGTACCGATAGAAAGAGTTGATAAATACAAATACCTAGGAACCTGGATTTAAGACAATAATGATCAAATAACCGAAATAAGAGCTAGGATAGAAATAGCAAGAAATGCGTTTGTAAAAATGAAAACAATTCTCTGCAACAAAGATCTTAGATTAGAACTGAGAGTAAGAGCACTGAGATACTACGTGTTTTCGATACTGCAATATGTACTTGAAAACTGGACATTGAGAGCCAAGACAAGAACACATAAATAAGTTACAATCCTTTGGAATGTGGTGTGACGGGAAGATTCTTAGAATAGCATGGACACAGAAGAAAACTAACACGGAAGTATTGCGAGAAATGAGCAAAGAATGCGAAATAATAAACATAATAAAAATAAGAAAGTTACAATATCTGGACACTTAATGAGGGGACAGCGATATGAACTGCTAAGGCTGATAATACAGGGAAAGATAAGAGGAGGAAGCAGTATATGAAGAAGCCATTATATGCCAGAATATGCCATGGTTGAAGAATTTAAGGGACTGGTTTAAATGCAGTTCTATAGAACTCTTCAGAGCAGCAGTAGATAGAGTAAAGATAGTGATGACGTTATCTAACCTCCTATTGGGAGACTGCAACTTAAAGAAGAAGATGAAAGTGTGGTATCAAATAGGAGTTAAAATATGATTTCTTGAATATAAGTACGAAAAAAAATACTAATTAAAAAAAGCTGATTAACAAATGATGGTATCATTCAAATTTATTTCTTCCTCATTTTCTTCTGTATCAGATAATTGATTTTCTTCATAGATCTCCATACTCGTGCAATTTTCACCCAGCGCAATTTTTACCTACCAAATTGCAAACCAAGCTATTTTATTATAATATCTATTATAATAATTTAAAATAGAGCGTGGAGAAAAAAACTCATTTTAACTATGTGACTTGAAAGATATCTGTATACTAGTACTAATAATAAGTATAACAGCACATGTGAAAGTAAAAGGCGAGAGCTACTACAGGGGAGATTATAATATGTATTACCTGGCATTTCATCAAAGCTATAATTGCTTATACCAACTGCTTAAAAGCGCCAAATTTAAAAAATAATATTTTGGACAATTTTTTGAATTTTTATATAAAGTTGTACGAGATATTCTGAGGTCATTTGTCAACGAAATATTCATGCACAGCGACCACGAAAAAAATAACATAAAACTCCAGGAGACGAGGTACATCTTCCATCAGGTAATTCGAGAACCATCGGCGTTATAACGTTAGTATTCAATGACCAAGAAAACCATCGAATAAAAATTTCGACTGATTTCGAATCAAAATAACATACAACTTCAGGAGACGAGGTCACTCGGCGGTCAGATAACTTGGAGATCATCGCCGTCATAATATTCGTGTTCACTAACCCGAAAAACCCTCCAAATAATGACTCCTGACTAATTTCGAATAAAAATATCATAGCACTCCAGGAGATAAGATTCACCCTCCACCAGGTAGTTCGAGAACCATCGGCGTTATAATGTTAGTATTCAGCGACCTAGAAAACGCTCGAATAATGACTTTCAACTGATTTCGAATTAAAATAACATACAATTCCAGGAGACGAGATCACTCTGGGGTGAGATACCTTGGAGATCATCGCTGTCGTAATATTCGTGTTCACCAATCCGAAAAACACTAAAAATAATGACTTTTGACTAATTTCGAATAAAAATATCATAAAACACCAGGAGACGAGGTCCACCCTCCACCAGGTAGTTCGAGAACTATCTTCATATTATTCATACTCAGAGACCACCGAGAAAACCCCGAATAATGAATTTCGACTTATTTCGAATGAAAATAATATGAAACTCTAGGAGATGGGGTTCACCCTGAGCACCGGATAGCTTGAGGACTATGACGTTATCATATTCATGTTTAGTGAGCTCGAAAACCCCCGAATAATGACTTAGAATAAAATTAACACACGAGGAGACGAGGTCCATCATGGGCGACAGGTAGCTCAAGGACCATCGTCGTTATCATACTCATATTCAGCAACCTCAAAAACCTCCGAGTAACAAAATTGAACTCATTTCTGTCAATATTTTCTGACTTGCAAATTTTCCATGCTCTATGTACTTTGGAAATCCATTTTTCTTGCACAAAATACAATTTTCATTTTACTACCATGAATTTTGTTAACAAACTCTCCTGGAATTTTCCAATGCAAAAAGTTGCACGGCGATTTATCTTGCTGTGGAAAATTGTTAGGTTTAGTAATTTTTAGTGCCTTATTTCCTCGCCTAATACGACTTTGAATTTGAATCATGATGACATCACCTAACGAGATTAGTTGTGCATTATTTGTTTTAACATCTCTTTACCATAACATTAAAAAAATAATAGGTCAAGGAAAAGATGCCAAAAAAAAATAAAGAAGTACTTTGACAGTTTTTTAAATGAAAAATTTGGCAGAATGTACGCTACAGATAATTCAATCTATAATATCAACGTTCTTCCATCTAAAGATCTGGTCTACTGGTAAATAGTGATTCCATCGTAAACCGATTATAGCAACAGAACTCCCAAGAGACATTGTTGCCACCTTTGACTAGAAAGAATACGCTCCTAGAGGCGTTCAGATATAATTTCACTCGATACCCTATGGAAGCTTCGCGCTATTACTCGCTCGAGTAAATGCATCAACCAAATCTCTGAACCTGCAATTCCTCTGGTATTGTATAGGTTTACTATTGCAACAACGAGTCATCAGTAGGGTCAAACTAATTAGTCCCAAAACGGTGTAACCCATCTCACGTATGAAATGAATGCTGAATGGTAGGAACACCCGTCATTGAAGAATTAAAAACGAGTCGCCATGAACCCTTGACCGCTACAAAATCTATGGTAACTTTTCTGACACTTTCTCAAAACTCCTCAATCCAAAAAGGATCGATAGGTCGTGTTTTCGCAGTATCTATTCATACTGCACAGTTTTGCTCTTCGCGGGGTTTTTTACCCTGGTCACCTGATACCTGAGTTATTCTTTGGCAAATTTATCGCCCCAGTTAAACTTTTGCCTGGCAGTGTCCTCGAATCGAATCAAGATGGAGGTAAGTTGATGTTCGAAACAAAGCACATAAACGCTAGCAGATTATTTGAAAGCACTAAACTGACGAACGACACAATGCACCTAAACGTCTCATGCACGCCGTGCCCTTGGCTTAAGAATAGCGTTAGAGTAGCCGCCTCGTGATCGAAGGACCCATGTATACGAGTAGTGTATTTAACCGGTGATGCTACCACCTCCAATCTTCAGTTTGTCCCGTGCTAAGTTTTCTTCCCGCGCTCATTTTTCCAAGCCTATTTCCTGGGAAGTGGTTTCGCTAGAGAATGGAATATATAGATAATGGGATATATGAAAGTTGTCACAAAATATAAAAAACATCATCTCACCTACTGATCCATTAACAAAGTTGTCAATGGCATTTGAGATTTCGGCCCTTTTCACAGTCTTCTTAAATTTCATGTTCAGCACTTTGGGGTGTTGTCTCAACCACCAATTGTCAGCCTTATCTCCCGCCAATCTGGTGCAATGAATTCTAGATTGTTGACCAGCACCTATTCCGATAACTTGGCCATCTTTGGCGTAGCATACCGAATTACTTTGTGTGTATTTAAGAGCGATAGTAGCAACGATTAAGTCTCTTACAGCAGATTCGGGAAGATTCTTGTTCTCACTGACGATATTGGTGAAAATTGATTTGTTTATTTCAGCATCGTTACGTTTTTGTTCTAAGGTTAAACCAAATAATATTTTCCTTTCGATGGGACTAGGTACATAACTTGGATCGATCTGAAATTAAAAAAAAATGTTATATGTTATATAAAAAAATCATACAAAAACTGATATATAATAAGTGAATTATTAGTAATTAATGCGATGTAACTTGTATTTCCTTAATTAAACTATTTTCCTACTTGCAAAATGCAGTAGCCTCCATTTTTCTTCTTTTTCAATAACTCTAATGCTTCGGGTGTATATCCTGGAGCAATAATACCATCTGATACTTCTCTGGAGACCAAACGAGCTGTGACTTGATCGCAAACATCAGAAAGAGCTACGAAATCTCCGAATGAAGACATCCTATCAGCACCTCTAGCTCTGGCATAGGCAATTGCCAATGGTGTTAGTTTTCCAGCTAAATCATCGACCATACACACTTTTGCCTAAAATAAAGATATCACATTGCTATTAAGAGGAAGCTGAAACTCATTTTATGAAGTATTAGCAATAAAGTAGATGCACTAACCTGAGTTTCATCGAGAGGCACGCCAACAGCTGCTCCTGCAGGTGAAACATGCTTGAAGCTAGTAGCTGCGGGCAAGCCAATAGCAGCTTTTAACTCTTTCACAAGTTGCCAACCATTGAGAGCATCGCAAAGATTGATAAAACCAGGAGAACCGTTAACCACGGTGAGAGGTAGCTTTTCCAAGGTTGTATATATCTGAGCTGGCTTTTGGTGTGGGTTCATACCATATCTCAAAGTCAATTGGGAGATTCCACTGGAAAATTCTTTTCGGAAATAGTCAGAAATTGCTGCATCATATTCTGCAGTATGGGTGAAGGCTTTTAGGGCTAAGGTTTGCCTAAAAAACGAAGGAGTTGTCTATATTCATTTTTCAAACTATAAGAAACTATGTAGTTCAACAAGATTTATAATCTGAGTTACCTATATTGCACAAAATATATGAAAAGGAAACAAACGCAGAAACAAAGGAAACTCTTGCTGACGGGAACTACATCGAATTAAAAATATATTAACGATTTAGTTAAAATATTGACCATTATGGAATAGAGTTTAGGTCAGGCCGTGGAGTTTAGGGGTCTACATTGTAAAAATGACATGCACCCTATCCTCCATGCTATGGCATGCTGGACGAGCCATACAGTCTGTAGTCGACACCCCGAGGTATGAGCGGGAATACAAAATGTACCAATACTCATACGCTTATGAAACGTACCTGGCGGATCATAAGGGCCTTCACATTTTGCTCTTTTTGAACTTGTCTGGAGTGAAATGTCTTTAATCTTTCCTATCGGCCTCTCTTGGCAAACTCTTGTTTTTCCGATCCCGAGTGGCTATTAGGGTAATCCGAGGGCGGACGGGTCACTATAATTCTGTCTACTACACTCTACTACTCTTCTCTCGACTAAGGGAGTAAACCCTAACAGAAAATCCTGGTCCTCCTGGTAGGGGGTTGGGACGTAGAGCCTGCTCCTCTACACCCGTGAAAAACTTACTGCAAAAAATTCTAAAATCCAGCCTCGGAATATGGACGGGAAAAAACGAAAACGACGTAGCAAACGAACAAGGACTTTGAATATAAATACATGGAATATCCAAGGGTGGAGAACCAAGTCAGACGAGGTCATGGCAGAAGTAAAGAAAATAAAATCAGATATCACGGTTCTTACCGAAACAAAGAAAAAAGGCCAAGGTAGTGAAGACATAGGAGGTTTCATACATATTTATAGTGGGGTAGAGAAAGACAAAAGAGCACAAGCAGGGTATCAATATTGATTAAAAAAGACTTAAAAGGAAACCTGAAAAGCTGGGAGCAGATCAATGAGAGAATTATTAGAGTATCTATTACGTGGAAAGGGCACGACCTCGAGATCATTGGAATATATATGCTCCGTCAGAAAATGCATCAAAAGCAGCTAAACAAATATTCTACGAAACTTTATCGGAACTCATTGAAAATATAAATAGCCGCAAAGAAATTGTGCTGTTGGGAGATTTTAACGCTTGGACAGGAACAAAAATAAATGACAAAGTCGTAGGAAAATATGGTGACGCTAAAACAAATGAAAATGGGGAACACTTAATCGAATTCTGTGAACAGCACTCTCTGAAAATCCTAAACGGATTCTACCAACATAAAAACATACATAAGTACACCTGGGTTCAACCAACGAGAAACACAAAGTCAATTATAGTTTATGTCATCACAAAACAAGAAACACACATACAAGTTGAAGACATAAGAGTACTAAGAGGACCGGAGTGCGGAACTGACCACTATATGGTAAGATCAAAATGTTACCTACAGTATCGACCTCGGCTACTACATCAAAATGACAACCAACTAGCTCAATCAAACCCCTGGAATCGAATCTACCTAAATACAATATTGATGCACTGCAAAACGACTCGACATCATTCTTATATAAGCTGCGACTTAGCCTAAAATTGGCAAACCTGATCTACTCCTCAGCCCAGAATACCTATAAAGAGATAATCAATAAAATCAATGAAGCAGCTTACGAAGCGCTCGGCACAATCCAAAAGAACAAAAAGAATACTCCATTGTGGTGGACAAATGACATCGCCAATGCAGTACACAACAAGAAACAAGCATATCAAAAGTGGCTGCAAACAAATGATCCAGATGATAGACGAACATATGCAAGATTAAACAGAGAAGTAAAAAACTTAGTAACTAAAGCAAAAAAATATTTCCTGGGAAAGTAAATGCGAAGAACTCAACAAATATATAGGATCAACAAGATCAAGAGAAGCATGGAAAACGGTAAAAAATCTGAGAACAAACAGAAAAGAAACGAGTAGAATAGATTTAATAGAAGAAAAATCTTGGATCGAACACTACTCACAGCTTTTAACTGAAACAAGACCTCAATTCACGAACATCAGTACAACACCATATGAACTGGAATTCAGTGAAGACGATGAAATAACAGTACAGGAAGTCGAGAATGCAATACGAACTCTAAAAAATGGGAAGTCATGCGGACCACAAGGTATACCAAATGAATTATTAAAACATAGCCCACAAGTATTACGGGAATTACTGGCGTATGTCTTCACCTTATTCTATAATGGACACGACTTACCACCGGAGTGGACAAAAGCACATATTAACAACATATACAAAAAAGGAGATAGAAAGAATTGTTCAAACTATAGGGGGCTCAGTGTCATAAATTCACTCTCAAGACTATATGGAAAAATAATAAAAAATAAAATTGAAAAAGAGATGACAGATGTAGAAGAACAGAATGGCTTTCGTGCAGGCAGATCCTGCATGGACAGTATATTCTCTCTAAAGCAAGTTATCGAAAAAAGATTAGCCCACAACCTTTCAACTCATATAGTCTTTATAGATCTGACAAAGGCATACGATAGTGTACCACTTTCAATGCTTTGGGTAGCAATGGAAAAACAAGGAATAAGCAAAAAAAATATACAAGCAGTATAACAGCTCTACAAAAATATGACGGCAAACATTAAAACTGGAAATAGACTAACCAGAGAAATTCCTATTAGTAAGGGCCTAAAGCAAGGCTGCTGCATAGCACCTACACTCTTCAAAATATATCTAAATGAGGCACTCTCACTGTGGAGAAGAAAGTGCTGCAATATGGGCATCCCAATCGGAGATGATAGATTGTACACGATACATTTCGCTGATGACCAAGCCATTCTAGCTGAAGACGAGAGTGATATAAGCTACATGCTTAGAAAACTGGAAGATGAGTACACCAAATGGGGCCTCACAATTAATATACAAAAAACTGAGTACTTAGTTGTAGGAGAACAACCAGAAAGCCTACAAATAGAAATGGGAACTATAAAACCAACAGACAATTTTAAGTACTTGGGAGTCCAAATAACATCAAAAGCAGGAAGTAGCGAAGAAATACATTCCAGGATTGGCCAAGCAAGATCAGCCACCAGACAGCTACACGGACTATTATGGAATAAAAAAATAACAAAAGAAAATAAAAGAAGAATTTATAAAACAATAATAGAAAGTATTGGACTGTATGGCGCCGAACTCTGGGAAATAAACCAAAGAAACAAATCAAAAATTAAGGCCATGGAAATGAACTACTGGAGACGATGTTGCCAGCTCACTAGACTAGATAGGGTGAGAAACGAAGATATTCGGAGAGAAATGGAAATCGATCTTGACATAATAGACACAGTCGAAGCCAAAAGACTTAACTGGTATGGACACCTTAAGAGAATGCCGGAAAATAGATGGCCAAAAAAAAATAGAAGAATGGACTCCGCCAACTAGAAGAAAACGAGGTAGACCAAGACGATCCTGGAGAGACGATGTCGACGATGCAATGACCGCCAGAGATCTAACAACTGAAGATTGCTTCGACAGAAAACGCTGGAAATTAGGATGCGAGAAGCGGCGCCAGCTGTAGAAGACTCGCTTGTATATATATATATATATATATATATATATATATATATATATAATATATATATATATATATATATATATGGAATAGAGTAAAAGACATTAGAAAATTGATACCGCAGATGCAGAATATGCAAAGATATAATAATACCCATTTTTATATAATTAAAGTTTTCATTGTATTCGAATGATGACGTAATTGATATATAAGAGATGTCTACATCTTCAATTGACTTTTACCTCTATATAGTAGCTTACCTGGTTTGTAATGAGGTGTCCTTCTCTGGATTATTTCGTAACTCATTAATGACTTTACTATAATCATTGGGATCGGTAATAACTGTAACTCTTTGGTGGTTTTTGGCTGCTGCCCTTAAGAGTGTCACACCGCCAATGTCGATGTTCTCTACGGCATCATCTAGTGTTACTTTAGGATTTGAGACAGTTTCTACGAATGGATATAGATTGCAAACTACTACTCTAATCATTTCTATTTTTTGGTTCTTGAGGTCTTCTTGGTCTGAAGGCAGTAATCTTAAACATAAAATGTTTGATAAAATAACACTCCAGTGAAATTTTTATATGTATGCTGTATGCATGTACTTATTTACCTAGCTAAAATTCCACCATGAACAACAGGGTGTAGAGTCTTGACTCTTCCTCCGAGAATTTCGGGGGCTCCTGATACGTCTGAGACATCTTTGATTTTAAGACCTGCATCTCGAAGAATAGCAGCTGTGCCTCCACTACCGACTAAAGTGAATCCAAGACTGTGTAAGTTTTTACCTAGCTCAACAAGGCCTAGTTTGTTTGATACTGATAATAATGCTGAAACATAAAAAAATAAAAATTGTAAATATTGTATAAAGAGTGGTTATTGTTGGTTTTGAGATGATTTTGTTCAAATATTCACTTGATATTTGTTAATATAACGCAACAATAAAAGCCAACAAAATTTAATAACAAAGAGTCACTTCATTTGACAATAACCTGTTATTTGTAGCTAATTTTTCGTACCATTCGATTCCGTCCAAGTCGGATAAAAATAATAAGAACGGACAATAGAGAATGACTGGGAGTACAGAAATGAAAGAAAGATTTAAGAATTCATGTTGACAGGATTCTTGAAGAAATGATATTATCAGGTATGACATTTTACATAAACATGAACATAGATTTTTCATTTAAATACCGATGGTTAACATTTCAGCCATTTTGCAAATCAGAAATTGGAACCATTGTTTCAATACACAATATGTATTTATGCTGATGGTATCAATATTGTTGGAAGAACGGAAAACGCACGAAAAGAATCCGCTACAATAATGGGTTTAATACTAAAACCCAACAAACAGAAATATATGAAAATAAGCACGCAACCACAAACCGCACAATTTTCACGGCCAACAGATGCTATTTTGGACTTAATCTCCTCCTTAAATCCACAATTATATCGAGAAATACAAAAATAAAACTCTACAAAACAATAATACGCAAAGTCCTAACATATGGTTAAGACCTGGACTCTTACCAAAAAGTAATGAAAATATGTTAAGATGTTTCGAAAGAAAAGTACTAAGGCGAATCTATAGAACAGTGAATAACAATGGAGTGTGGATAAGACGATACAACTTCGAACTTAGAATATACCAGGAACCAGCTATCGTAAAACATATTAATATAGTACGTCTGAGGTGGATAGGGCATGTAATGCTGATGGAACAAATTGACCCAGCTAGAAAATCGCTCCTTGATAGACCGATCGGTCAGAGAAGAAGAGGAAGACCCAGAACAAGGTTCCTTGATAACATCGATGAAGACATAAGAAATATGAGAATACGTGCTTAGCGGAGAAAGGCGATGGATAGGGACGACTGGAGAGAAATTCTTGAGGAGGCTAGGACCCACGCAGGGTTGTAAAGCCAGAATGACGACGACGATGATATTAACGGATTATAAGGGCTCATAAAAAAAATCGCAAGTAAGTAGGTTATAGATTTTACATTTAAATGCCGATGGTTGGCATTTCAGCCATTTTGCAAATCAGAAATGTCGATGTTGTCGATGGTTACATTTATGTCGTTATCGTTGTTTATAAACAGACTGTATAGCCCTTAGACAGGGAAAGAGAGGGGACGCGTATTCGTATGGAATTGACTGAAGCCAAACCGGCACCAAAAAGGTTGCCAGGTCATATTTTATTTCTTCAGTAAATTAAGAATAACGAATATATATCAATAAATATATATATTTTTTTCAAAAGTATTATGTTTAATTGAATTATTGTTTTAATTTTTAAATATTTTCCTAAAAATATAAGCTAAATATACTTTTACGTTAAAATTTAAGTTCAAGAATAGGACTGTCATTCGTTATTAAATATTTTATTTATTTTAATGCACTGATTTTTACTAAAACCTCTGATATTTTTGAAGAACAATTTTACGTTTAAAACTCAATAAATAGTTATTATAGGAGATACTTCAGGAAAATTGTAGTGTGCCTAATTAAAGTTTTTTGTCCGTTTAAAATTGTCTGAGGAAATCACCCTTTGTCTTAATATTATATTAATTTTAAAGTAGCGAAGCACTACACGTTTATTGGTTACCTTTTTTTATTTATAATTAAACACTGACATAATGATCACTTTTTGAACATGATGTTATCATTATATATTTTTTAGTAGATCGATATAGTGTTTGAATAAATCAGTAAATTGAAATTAAAATCAGTAGATCTACTGAAAAATCAATAGACCTGGTAACCCTGCGAGAGGTGGTAATAGGTATGCAACGTACAATCGAACCTGGTTTCACTTTTTGAAGGTTTATTAAATGAGTGTTACCTGTCCCCCCTCTTTCCTTGTCTAAGGTATAGCCGACAAAAGTGAATACTTATTATATCGCGATATTACTATATTATGTGGGTTAATGAAATTGTATGTCTGATTATTACTGAATTATTAATATTGTTTTATAATAACACCACATATTAAAGTTCTTAAAATTTGAAATCTTGTCTAACGATCTTGTAATTTTCAAAATTTGTTAAATATACTATAGAATTTATTCATCATTTACATTTTCACTATTATCTTGTATTTATGTATAATTACTTCATTTTTATTATATTATTATATTTAATTATAATGTAAATAGACGTGAAGATAGCCACGGTTTTATTGACATCAATCCAAAGGAGTATATGTAACTGTTTGTGTGTGAAAATAAAATTGTTGTTTTTATTATTCTACTTACAATTCTTACAATTTCCGTATTTCTAGATTCGCATGCGGATTTTTACCTCATTAAGCACGTTTTTGTTTATTATCTAGAATTTTACTTAATTCATAAAGTTTTTTTTAAGTTTGTATAAATTACGTTTTTTTTGTTTGTTTGTAAAAATTACGTTTTTGTTTTAGGACGTCCAAGAGAAAAAATGAGAACCTGAGACCATTTACAGAGGATGTTTTTATGCAGGCTAAAAATTTAAAGAAAGAGGCTAAAAGCAGCGTTAATTTCTTGGGTAGATTTCGACCTGTATTTACTCCAGAGCAGGGAAAAGCAAATAGTGGATCATTGTAAAGCTTTAGACTTACTTTTCTATGGGCTTACCCTAAACTCGCTTCGTTTTCTGGCATATCAGTTTGCAGAAAGAAATGGTATCCATGATCAATTTTCTAAGCAATCAACACTAGCAGATAGAGATTGGACTAGAAATTTTATGAAACGAAACCGCCTTTCACTACGTACACCACGAAAAACCAGTGTAGCTAGGACCACGGGGTTCAACAAACATCAATTGACACAGTATTTTTTAAATTTAAAATCTGTCTTGGAGAAATATAAATTTCCAGCGTATAAAATCTACAACATGATGAAAGTGGTTTACAAACAGTACCAAATAAATTACCTAAACATGTTGCTCCCACTGGAAAAAAATAAGTAGCAAAAAATGTAGCTGCAGAACAAAGAAGAACTGTGACAGCTGCATGTTTTATGAGTGCAACAGGACACTATGTTCCACTATTCTTAATTTCCGCACGCAAAAGACTAAATCCTCTTTTGATAAAGGACGACGCTCCAACTGGTTCTATTTTGGCTGTAACTGAGTCTGGATACATGAATTCAGTTAAGTTTCTTCAATTTTTGGAGCACTATCGCAAATATACAAATCCTACCTCTGAAAACCCAGTGCTATTAATTTTGGATAACCACATATCTCATACCACTCTAGAGGCTATCACTTACGCAAAAAATAACAACCTCCATTTGCTCAGCCTCCCACCTCATAGCAGCAATCGAATTCGACCACTGGGCAGAAACTTTTTTAGGCCATTAAAAGCTTACTGTGATGATTTGTGAGATCATTGGACCACATCTAATCCTGGGGAAGTAGTCACAGAATACCACGTCGCTTGATTATTCAAGCAGGCCTATGAGAAAACTACTACTATAGAAAAAGCTGTTAATGGATTTAAAATGACAGGTATTTTCCCATTAGATGATGAAGATTTTTTTTACCTTCTTCAGTAACTGAACAAGAGCAAGAAGAAGTAGATGATCTTGACCGAAATAATAAAGATACACACAATTAAGGATTGTATTTGACGAAGACAAAAGTCAGGAAAATAACAAAGCAGAAGAACCAAATAGTAAAGCAGAAGAACCAAGTGGTGAAGCAGAAGAACGAAATGTTGAAAATCTACCAGATAGACTTAGCATTTCAAGTAACCTGGCATCAAAACCCGGAAGCTCTAAAAATGAAATGTCTACTACGTTACCGTCAGATATCATTCCGTTGCCAAAACTAACCAAAAAGAGAAAACCAACAAGAAAAGGATTGAAATCTACACTTCTGACATCTACTCCACATAAAGAGCAAATGGAAATCTCAGAGCTGGAGAAGAAATACAAAATGAACGAAAAAAGGAAGGAAAGCATTAAGGAAAATAAAAATACAGTAAGAAAAGTATTTGAAGAAAAACAAAATATACTAAATAAAAAGGAATATGAATATTCTTCTGATTCGGACGCTCAAATATGACTTCATGATAGTAGCAGCAATTTAAGTTTTTCTGAAAGTGATGCTGAAAATGAATTATCCGAATTAAGTCCAGGAGAGTTTGCTATAGTAAAAGTTTACGTCAAAACGAATTACTCATTTCGAATGTACGTTATGCGAATTACTGTAATGGTAGATGAGGATTACAGTGGTATTTATTATTAAGGGCACCCAATAAAATGCGTTTTTCAGAAATTGACGAAGAGTTTTTTGTTAACAAGATATACATTATAAGGAAACTTTCCAAGCCATTGCTGGGCAGTTCTGCTAGATTTAAGGACTTTGTGAGCTTTTCAACAGATTTAAGCGATTTAACGTTGCACTAGTTGTAACCTGAAAAGTGTTTCAGCTTTCAAAAATTTTTTTTATTTTTTATCTTTTTGCGTTTAGGTCATATATCTACTTTGTAGGTTTAGGTTTGTATGGTTATAAGTTTTTAGATAATTTTTTTTTTGACAAAATAAAGATTTGTATTTGATACGTTGTTAATTTTTATTTTTATAAAATATTTTTATTCAAAGGGGGCAAAGATCCGCTATGCGGACTTTTGCCCCAATTAATGGAGCAATAATCCGATTTGTAAAATATTGTACTTTGCGCTATAGTTTTTTTTTCTTACAGCTATTTAGCAGTCATTTATATTTACAGCTAAGGGTATTAGGTTATCCTAATGGCCCGACAAATTTAATGTGTATACTGAAATCAAAAGTGTGGCAAATATTGCATAATATAAATTGCGAACTTTTACCCCCACTTACCCTACG